CACCACACTATTGCCTGTGTCCATGGACTAAGATATATGTTCTTTGGCTAAACTCTTCACCTTCTTTTATCCAGTTCCCACCTCCCTCTCCCCTTCAGTCTGTTCCGTGTATCCATGCCTTTGGTTCTATTTTGTTCATTAGTTTATTTTGTTCATTATATTCCACATATAATTGGGGTCATATGGTATTTGTCTTTCTCTGCCTGGCTTATTTTACTTAGCATAATAATCTCCAGGTCCCTGATGCTGTCCCAAAGGGTAAGAGCTCCTTCTTTTCTTACGGCCACATAGTATTTCAGTGTAAATGCACCAGAGCGTTTTTATTCATCTTCTAATGGACACTTATTTCTTTAACTGTTATAAAAAATAATTGGGTTGTATAGTAAGAATAGGCAATATAGAGTAAAATATAAACATAAAAATAAATTATCTGGCTGTTATATATTAGAATGAAAAATACATGTTCAGGGGAAATAATGTAATTTAAAGTAAAATAAACTGATCATAATATGCCATAGAGTTCATATAATGAAGACAAGATGTAGTTATCAACTTTGTGACAGCCAAGATGAGGAAAGGAATAAACATTTATCTATTAGGAGAAAATGTTCCAGTATTTTAAAAGGAAGCAAAGCTTTTTTTTCTTAAGATTTTAAGATTCTCCATGAAACAGTTGATTAGAACAATAGCACATATAAAGTTGTGTAGTCAATCTATTGTAGTGTTCAACATTATAAGTATAATCTGCTATCAGTAGTGAATGTTATGAGCACCCAGTGAGAGAAAAGTCACAGACCATCTCATATCAGGTTTTACCAGTTAGTGTTTTGAGAAAATATGGAATAAAGAGGTCTTAGGATATAAGCAGAATTTTGAAAAGAAGAAAGGGGATTTTTCTGTGCAAGAGGAAAGGAAGCGTAGAAGAAAATAAGAAGCAGGCAAATAAAGATAGAAACTAGCTGGTGTGAAAGATTCAAGCTCCAAAATAGTGGAGGATCAGGCTTGAGCTGGAGCTCCCCAGGCAGGGTCGGGGCCCCTGGTCCGCTGGCGGGTTGCAGGGCCTGGCCCATCGCCTCTCCGCGTCCAGTTCATGGTTTCACTGGGAGTGAGCGGCCGCGCCACCGAGGCTTGCCAGCGGCTGTTGAATCTGTCATTGGAATGATAAGAGAGGGAATAATGACAATTGAATATTACTAGTTTCAAGAAACTAAAATATTTCAAAAAACTTTATTTTCATAAGTGTACCCTAAAGCTACTTTTTTTAAGGAAGGCAAATTCCCTGCCTCTGAGCCTTACTTCCTGTGTGTTTAAGTATAATCTGAATAATTGGTTGAAACTCCTCATATCCTTAAATAAGAGATACCAAGTTTCTGCGATGTTCTCATTAACTCTTGCATTTGTAATAATGTGACCTTTCTTTTCCACATCTCCTTCTAAGTGGAGGATGTTTTTAGGCAATTATCCTCTTGGCAGCCTCTCTACTTCAAAGCGTACCTTGGAAGAAGAAAGAGAGGGTTTGTTAGAGCTTAAACCGTTCCGAGGATGTTAAACAGCTGCTCTGCTCTTACTCTTTCATTCATTTTCATTTCTATCCTTGTTATTATGCAAATAAACATTATAATTTCAGCCAGGAAAGCCACACTTGAATGAGAAGGAAGGAGAGAAATGAAAATTTAGAAAGGATTAAAATAAAAAAGGATTTAACAGAAAAATATCCCCTGTTTCCTCAATAATTTGATCAATTCATAGCTCTCTGGTTCTTTGAGTGGTGCATGTTGTATAAGAGTAGTTTTGTACTTATATGTAGTAGAAAATCTACAAACTTATTATATAAAATAATAAAATATTGAGTATTATAATGCCGATATTCAATATATTTTTAAATTAAAGTTTAAAAAATATAGTAAGGCAATTTTTAAAATTAAAAATCTTCAAAGATTGAATAATAAAAAACACTTGTTTAGCAATTACTATTTAGTAGACATTGTTGCTAACACCTTATATGCATTAACCTATTTAATTCTTATAAATAGGTTTTTTATGAGGTCGATACTCTTGATATCCCTCATACAGATGAGGCCTCTCAGGCACAGAGAACTTGAGTTACTTGCTCATATTCACACAGCAAATAAGACCCAAAGCTTGAGATCTAAACTCAGGAGCAGTCTAACTTGAATCTGTGCACTAATAATTTCCTATAAACTTAATATCCACCATACAATTCCTTAAAACAACACCTGATATAGTGTAAGCCTTACATGAGTGGCTTTGGAGAAAACTGTACATACGAATTCAGATTTCCATATTTTTCCCTTCCGTTTTATTGAAATATATCTGACCTATAGTATAAGTTTAAGGTGTATACCATAAAGAATTGACTTACACATATTGCAGAATGACTACCACAATAAGATTTGTTAACATCCCTCATCTCATATAGATATTAATTTTTTTCATTATGAAAAATTTTAGGATTTACTCTCTGAGCAACTTTTAAATATACTGTAGTGTTAACTATAGTCATCATGTTGTACATTACCAGTTCATCCCTAGTAGCTATTTATCTTCTAACTGAAAGTTTGTATCTTTTTATCATTTCCTTGGATGAAGGTGGTGAAAATACTTTTACTCCTACTTCTACCCTATTTCTATTGCTTGTCACCTTTTTCGTCACCCCTCCCTACCCCCCAAGCTAGGTCACTGTTTTCTTTAGTTACCAACGAAGTAGGTTGTCCTGATTTCTGAGTCTGGGTTTCAATTTTAGATTAAATGGCACTCAAGGCATTTCTTACCCCCAAGCAACACATTCTCTTCTAATTCAACTTCTCTAGGCCTCTTAGCTGACCTCCTGAAGAACACCTGGGGTTCACCTTTGACCTTTTCTCTTGTAGCTGTGTAATTAGTCAGATTTTCCCCATCTCAGCATTTTGCCATTGCCTGTTACTTTATAACTACACTTTCTTAAAAACATATCCCTCTGTATGGAACTAACATTCACCATCTTTAGCAATACTGTATATACACAAATAACTTTTTCACATGTGGATCTGTTTTAGATAATGTTTTAATTTATATAGTCCTTAAAATTTTAATTTATGACCAAAATTTTCAGTTTTATTTTTCAAATTTGTTTTATCCTGAAACCAGAGATGCTTTTCACTGGACTAAAACTTTCAACTAACAGTAATACTTGAAAGGCACTTTGTAAAGAAGCAGTCTATGTATACATTGTCATTTTTAATCTTCATAACAGCCCCCCTGGGTGCTATTATTCCCACTTTACTGAAGAAATAATTGGGGACAAATGCCACACTGTCCCCCAAATTTAGCAGCAGTTATTGCTACAGCATACTAACAGGTAGAGGCATTATCTAGTTATTATCTAGTCAAAGAAGTAATATTTTGCTACCTGAAATAGGTAATACCTCATCAGGTTGAATCTTCATAATAGGTTTGAACATTTAACATGAAATAAAACAGATTTTCAAACCACGTTTAATGCAATTAATGATATCAAACTTTCAGAATTTTCTTCCACAGATTGCAATTGAGGATCTCCTTTGCATTTAAAATTAAGCATCTGCCATTTTAAGTGTCTTTCATTTATTTATTTAAAATTTTATTTTGTTTTTCCCATCACATTTTATCCCCTCTCTGCCCTCTACCACCTCCACCTATCTCCCTCCAGCCCTGCAATCACCACACTGTTGTCCACGTCCAAGTCCTCTCAATCTTTCTCTAGCTCTCGCTTATACTGATTTCCTGGACATTTTGCTTGTTAATGTAAATTTTTTATGACTTATAAACCCTTACAAGTTTTTGAACTTTCTATAATATTCATTAGAATTTCTTAGGATTTTGTTTTAATCACCGATGAATATTTTATGATGAGATAAAAATTATGTTATTTGTTTTAACTAGTCAAATAATGTGAACTACATGAGGATGTACATGGTTTAATTAGCCAGCTGTTAGTATAAGAAAATATTCTTGCTTTTCTGAAAATGAAAGTTACCGCTTTTCTGTTGCTCTAGTTTCCTTTTTGTCCCTCTGTATTTTCATGTATGCATAAAAGTGTACTACAACTGAAAATGCAAGTTTCTTAAAACTTTATAAAGTGATTCTGTTAAATAGGGTTAGTTGATAAAGAGACTTAAAATAATAAGAACAGTGTGGTTCTTAGACATACAGATCTTTGGAAGAAAATGAGACAGTTCAAAAATAGGTTTGGCGATAGCTATAGGTATTGCAACAATGAATGAGAAATAATTTCCTATATTAGGAGAACTCAGAAACAAAAATTTTAAAAGTTGCCAAAAATATTAATATGCTGGGACAGATAAAACCTTTATATAAAAAGGGCAAGAAAATAGAAGAATATCTTTCTTGCAACTTTGCAGGCTTCTCTGCTAGTTCCATGAATGGAATGAATGGACTACGCACTTGTTTTATATATGTGCCGAAGGTTTTGGAATTAAGAAAAGGTTGTTTTTGTTCCTTACCTACAGACATTGATTCTTGTCAACAACGAAATTAGCAAAATCGACGCTGGAGCATTTGCACCTTTGGTGAAATTGGAACGACTCTATCTGTCCAAGAATCAGCTGAAGGAATTGCCAGAAAAAATGCCCAAAACTCTTCAGGAGCTTCGTGCCCATGAGAACCAGATCACCAAAGTGCGAAAATCTGTGTTCAATGGACTGAACGAGATGATCGTCATAGGTACAGATATTCTTATAACTCTAAGACCAGGATTCAGGGTTCACCCTAAGAGATTTCAAGTAAACATTAGCTGCAGGAAGGTTTTTAGCTGGAAATTACATGTCTTAAACCTGTAAGAATGGCAGGAGCAAGGCCAGAAGAAATGGGATTTTGAATCTGTGCCTTAGGAATCTGAGAATGTAGGGAAAGCTCTAGAACTGAAGTTTCCCTATTGCATGTTCAAGATGCAGGGTGCAATTAAGTAGTGCTTAATCAGAGATATTTAGGGATCCATTTCATTGTGGGGACTAGTTTTATTCTGAACACCTATAAATTATTTGTTTTAAAATATGTGTTCTAATGTTTTGCATTATGCATGGCAAAAATTATAATTTTATAATTGGCTTACAAAATGTTAGATTCAGATTGTTTAACAACATTTTATTGTATTTTAAGAAAGTATTAGCCCTATAATAAGTGCAATTTGTAAACACTTGCTTTTGTTGATTTCTGGGCAAAACTGTGTATGAACCTTAAATAATTTTGTTGTTTTTGTTTTTGCTACTATTACTCTTTCACAAATATTGGCTTTTTTTGTTGTTGCTATTTGTTTGTTTTAGTAAGAGTTATTTTTACCCCTTTTTACTATCCCTTTGAGGAACATTGCTTTAATTTCTCTTTTGTTTTTCAGTCAAGGTATTATTGAACCACATTTCTGTTAAACTCCATGTTGAAACAGACACTATTCTGACTTGTAATATCCTAAAACTGTCCTCTAAAAGCTCTGTACTTAATGCATTTGCAGAACTGGGCACCAACCCACTGAAGAGCTTAGGGATTGAGAACGGAGCCTTCCAGGGAATGAAGAAGCTCTCCTACATCCGCATTGCTGACACCAATATAACCTCCATCCCTCAAGGTGACAGAAAATTCTCCAAAGCAGTTTGAAAATCTAAATCTAAAGGTGTTAACACTTAAAAGAGATTGTTTGGAAAATGTGAATGGTGACTCATGTGACCAACTTTATTTCTAGTAAATTCTCTACCTCTGGAAGTGTTTCTACTGAGCCTGGCTCACCATTGAGCCATCTAGGCTCCTTGTGGAAATGGCCAGACTCTTTCACCTATAAAGTCTCTTATAAGATGTAACTCAATGCACAGTGACTTTATATAGTAGGATTGTGATTTCACAAAGAAAAAACTAGTTATTTTAAGAAATAGAATGCCTTAGCAGTACTTTGTTTAAAAAGAAAGAGAAGAAGAGAGAAAGGTACATGGAAGTACCTCTGAAATTGAGCCAATTTTTACGAGTCTCTAATCCCATAGTGAATTTCTTCCCTTCTGAGGATTTTCCATTTATTACTCTCTGAGTAAGAAGATTCACAGGGACCATACTCTTATTTTAATAGAGGCAGTCATGTGTTATAAAGAGTGTGAATTTTGGAGGCTGCTTTTTTTACTTCAAATTGTCATTAATTGGCTCTGGGACCTTGAACCAGTTCTTAAAAACTGCCTAAATTTCTTTATTTATTTGTGACATGAAAATAATATTAGTATCTACCTCGTTGGGTTATTTTAAAATTAAACAAATAATTAGAGGAATATCTGGCATATAGATAAGCAGTGGATTAATATTACCTTCTGTTGTTAATTAAAAAGATTTTGGACACTCATTTTGCTTAGACAAAGTTCCAAACACAAGATACAAGACAGTGAATAGCACACACTACCTGCCTGCAAGGCGCTGATCGCCGGGAGCAAAGCCAGATGGTTAAACAGCAGGCCCCGCACAGTCATGGGGGGAACTCACTGCGTGAAGGGCCACCCAGGAGAGCGGCATACGTCACTCTTTGTGAATCAGAAAACGCATCAAATCACCAAAAATAAGTTTCTCTAACTGTCACGTTTTCCCTGTCTTAGGTTCTTCAGTCTCACAAAAACCACTCTCTGTTCTCGAATTTTCCTTTCAATCTGGCCCTTCTCGTTTTCTGGTGTCTTATTCTTGGACTGGGTAGAAAATGTAGCTATTTGCACACAGAAAACAATGACCTTTTACTGCGCTTCCATAGGAACTTCAACTCTTGAGAATACGTATTCCATAGAATTGTTTCTTCCCACCCCTTTGCCCTCTCCACAGTCTTCTTGCTACAGAGGATGTTTTTGGCTTATAATAGCAACTACTGGTGTAGATGGATGGACACAGACAGATCCATAGACAGAGAAGGGAGATTGATTTACAGTTCATACAGCACATTCATGTTGAGTCTCTGACCTGTTGCATGTATCAAGTGATCTTCTTTATCCCCAATGCAGAGGTTATGTACATTATATACATATAAAATATATATATTTTTTATTTTTTTATTTTTGTTCAAAATATTACAGATGTCCCTTTTTCTCCCCAATGACCCAATCCACCCCAAATATATTTTATTTATATTACTATTTTTATGTACTTTGTTATATTTTATGATATGTAAAGTTACCTATCTTTGTCTATATCTATCTATATCTATTATCTATGTCTATCCATCTAGCTAATCTATCTATCTATCTATCTATCTATCTATCTATCTATCTATCTATCTATCTATATCTATCATCATCTCTTGCCTAAAGCCTTAGAGCTGTAGAAGGTGAAGTAAAGTAGTTGGAATTTAAGGTCCAGGTCTTCCCACTACATGCCGCCACATGGCCTGGGTTCAGAACAATCTTTGATTTTGCTGTCCTTAATGCATCTTCCTAAATATCCCTCAGTGACACATTTCATCACTTAGTTGTCTGTTTTTCTGTACTTTCTTATGTCTTTTCCCTCTCCTAGGTACTCTTTTCTCATCTCACTTTTATTTACTAAACATTAATATTAAATATTAAAATTATAGTAATTAAATTTTATTCAGCACTTGACCAAATGCCTTTCATAGGTTCTGTTATTTGTGCCAAATGCTTTTCATGGATCCTGTTATATGAATTTCAAAACAATCTCTGTAAAGAATATTATTACACCTGTTTTATAAATGAGGAAAATGAGGCTTAAATAAAAGTAAATTGTGACCAAAGTCTTGGAGCTAGGAGGTGGCCAAGCCGGGACTGACAAAGCCAATGTTTGACCATTCACTTCACTGCTATGCTACACCCTCCAATGCATATTTATACATATCTAATATCTAATATCTAATATGTGAGTCTACCTTTCTTGGGCTAGACCCTTCTAGCTGAACATCAGCAACCTTCAGAGAGTCTTCATCTCTAAGTGTTATCTTCCACCACTGATGGAAACAGGCAGTGGAATGGGGTGGAGAGATTATAAATTCACTCTTAGGTTAGAGCAGCCTGAGTGAGAAGCCGGACTCAGCCTTTTAGTTACTCTCTGACTTTAGCCTAATTATTTCACATATCTAAAACCTCCGTTTTGTTATCTATAAAGTGAAGATATTAATGGCATCTTTCTTTGAGAATATTTGTGAGGATTAATAGATATAAGCCTTGTAATGCACACACATAGTATTTGGTCCAAAATAAGCTGTCAATATGTTTTATCTCTTTTTAAATTTTTTTTTACCTTTATTGTTGAAAGTATTACAGATGTCCCCCTTTTCCCCCATTGATCCCCTCCACCCCGCATCCACCCCACCCCCAGGCCTTTCCCATACCAATGTCTGTGTCCATGGGTTATGCTTATAAACATACAAGTTCTTTGATTAATCTCTCCCCACCCACCCAC